TTAAATGAATGTTACACGAAATTGCTTCAAATACTGGAATAAAACTTGATGATCGCAAGATTACAAACCACAGTGCACGACGTAGTGCTATTATGATTCTTAAGGCAGCCGATGTGCCTGAAGATGAACTAATGATTTTTTCAGGCCATAGATCTCATGAAGGTATCAGATCATATAGTAAACCTACTGATGACCAACAATTGAATTCTACTGCAATGTTAATTCCAAATGCAACAACTGATGATGATATTGGAGAATTTTATTCTTACCCGGGTAATTTATATACACAATATGAATCTGAAAAGGATGAATATGATAATGAAATATAAGAATACACAGATGAAGAAATTTCCATAACAAATAAGAATAGTAAAAGTTTGAACGAATTTGAAGGTAAAAAAAAAAATTGTTTTTTTTTCTTTTTTTTTTTTGTACAATTACTAATTACTAATATAAATTTAAAAGGATGTGATAAATCTCAAAAAAACCGAAATTGTCTAAAGTTTCAAAACACAAGTCATCTATTTATGCACCTTTCCGACTACTATTTAAATCACCCAATTCAATTGCACCATAAAAGCCTCAACACCAACCATCTAATTCAACTGCACCATCGAAGCCTCAGCACCAATCATCTGATTCAACTGCACTATCGAAGTTTCAATGCCAACTACCCAATTCAATTGTATCATCAAAGTCTCAACGCCAACCAATTGAACAACAAATTTCTACCCAGCAGCATGTTTTTCAGAATCAGCAAACACGACAAGTTCTAAATCCTATTACTCAAAACATCATACTACAAATTCTGGCTACTGACAAACCCTTAACAATTACATTGAATCTTAAATTTGACATCTCTGAGTAAATATTTTCTCATTGCCTGTAATAGTGATATAAATTATAAATCTTAATAAAGCATCATTTAGCACAATTCAAAATAAAAAAAAACTTTCTGATCATTTTTAAAGTATTTCTATTTTTCCAATACACGACAATTTTTTTAAAAAAAAACTATTTGCACGGGTCTATATGAAAATCAGGTGATTTTTATATAGACCCGTATGAATAACTATGACAAATGAGCACGGGTTGTTACATAAGACCCGTACAATAAACTAAACATATTGGACAAGCATTTAAATAAAATTTTAATATTTAATTTATGACATAGATATTGTATTAATATTATAGTAAATAAAAATTCAAAAATATATTTTTTATATACTGATCATGCCGAAAAAATTACTGGCCGAAAACTTTTTTGGCTAATTTTTTTATAGGTATTTCAGGAATAATGAAAATAGCTATAAAAAAAATTTTTATATATTTTAATAACCAGGTGGGTTTTAAAAAAAAATTTTATATAAATTTTATAAAATTATATATATAAAATTTAAAAAAAAAAGATGGCCAGCCAGATTTATTTAAAAGTTTCATGTTATGAAAACCAAGTAATTAAATTTGTATAGCCTTATTTTTGCATATTTTAAAAATATATCTTTGCCAAAAATAAAAATTTATTAATTATAAAGTAATAATTATATGTAAACACATGCTCTAAACAAGTTTACTTAGAAGATTAAAGCAGGTTACTTTGATAGAAAAATGAGTTAGCTATATACTAAAGGTAAAAATTCATGTTTTTCTATATATAACTTTTTTTTTACTTAAATTACCTGCTTTTATTTTCTAAGTAAAATTGTTCAGCATAAAATTTTACATTTGTATAATTTACCGGTTTTCATTTTGCGAACCTTTTACTAAGTAAAAAATGAGGTTAAAGTTAAGAAAAAAAATTTTCTAAAAAAAATTTTTTAAAAAATTTTTTTTTCTAACTTTAACCCCATTTTCACTTAGTAAAAGGTTCGCAAAACGAAAACTAATAAATAGTATAAATGTAAAATTTTATGCTGAACAACTTTACTTAGAAGATAAAAGCAGGTTATTTAAGTAAAAAAAAGTTATATATAGAAAAACATGAATTTTTACCTTTAGTATATAGCTAACTCATTTTTCTATCAAAATAACCTGCTTTAATCTTCTAAGTAAACTTGTTCAGAGCATGTGTTTACATATAATTATAACTTTAGAATTAATAAAATTTTATTTTTGGCAAAGTTACATTTTTAAAATATGCAAAAATAATAAAGCTATAACTAATCTAATGAAGCCAAAAATTTCTTCTTTTCATGCTCTAAATAATTGTAGAATTTAATTTTAAGTTAATATGTAGATCGAAAAACA